GCCAGGGGGAAAAATAATTTGCATAGAGGGGGAATAATTTGCATAGGGGGAAAATAATTTGCATACCACATACCTTACAAAGAACTTATATGTAAAATATGGAGAGAATTTACAGTGAAAAGTAACAAGCTATCTAATTAGAAAATAGGCCAAAGACTTGGCTAGGCATTTTACTGAGAATGCTACACAGATATTCATAATAAGCACAGGAAAATATATTCAATATCATTAGACATTAGGGAAATGCACATTGAAACCACAATGAGATACAACTATACATCTATCAGAATAGCTAAAACAAAAAAATCATGATAATACCAAATGCTGGCAAGAAGAGAATATGGAAGTTTCTTATAAAACTAAATATTTGCTAAACTCAGAAATTGAACTCTTGGCATTTATCCTAGAGATATAAAATGGGTTTATGTTCACACAAACACATATATATGAGTGTGTATAGGTTGTATTCATAATATCCCCACTCAAATCTTCTTTAGTGGGTGAAAGATCAAACAAAGCAAACCATGAAATTCTACGCGGCAATAAAAAGGAACAAAGTATAAATACAGGCAAAACTTGGATGGATTCCCAAGGGAATTATGCTGGGTTTTAAAAGTCAGTCTCCAAAGGTTTCATACCACACAATCCTATTTATTAAAAAATTCCTGAAATGTCAAAATCATATAGATACTTATCAGAGTAGTTGCCAGGGGCTAGAGTAGACACAGAAAGAATGAGAGAGTTGGCTGTAGCTACAAAGGATAAGACAAAGGATCCTTATATGGTAATATTCTGCATCCTGGTTATGTTGGTGGTTCCATGAGTCCACACACATAATAAAAGCACATGCACACGCACACACATAATATAAAAAAACTAAGTTGAATGAAATGACATTATTTAAAAAGTATAAATTACTTAATTTAGTGTAGTTACTCCCATGTTAATTTTTATTAATTCCCTCATTCTTAACACCTGCATAGTATTTAAGTTCATAATGAATGGGTGATGGGTTTGTTTTTTGGGTCATTTATGTTGTTCATATATCATCTCAATTAAAAACCTGGTATTTTTACAAAGGTAGAAATATAAGGAGGCCGTCTTCCATATTTCTGTCAAATAGCTTAGATGAAAAGGATAGGCTCAAACCATACGTACATTAAACATGTTAATAGGGATTCTATGCAATGTGTTAGCAGCAGCCAAGTTTTAATGTCTCTGAATCTGCCACCAAACCCTACAGAGCAAGTAGGATAACAAAGCAGCACCTATGACAACACAGAGTGATGAGGTAGCCCATGAGCCCCACACCCTGTGAACCCCACACTGAGCAAGTAGAGCTAATCCACAAAGACTCACAGGAACCACCGTCTGTCCCGGAGGACACAAGGAAAGGACACAGGGTCCCCAAAGGCTCTGGGACCTGTGAAACTTAGAAATCCAACTGCTAACAGACACCCTTCCCCTCAGTTCAGGGAGCCCTGCTTGGCAGGCCTGGAGACAGCAGCTGAGGCCAGGAGGGCTATGAGGCTTCCAGCTCCTTAGGGGAGAGAGAGGATGGCAAAAGCAGACGGAGTGGTGGTCTGCAGCCCCATGAACTCACCAATTTAACCACTTCCAGAACAAAGCCCTTTCCTGAGGCGTAACTTCAGAAAGTCAGTTATGAAGTTGGACAAGGACCAAGAAAAGAGATGTCCAGATTAAACATGCCGGAGGGTGGAGGTGGGGGTGGGGGAGGCAGATCTCAGCAAATTCAAGCACAGGTAACTTCCTTACCTTGAGGTTCCAGAAAGACCAGAAGCCATGAATGTGAAATAAATAATAAAAGTCTTGGCTCAATAAGTTAAATCTTCTAACTCTTGTTACTAATCCAATCATTTTCTTTCTCAGACAGACAGTTGCTCAGCAAAAAGTACCTAATATTTTCTCAGGAAAATAGTGCTAAAAGAGCTCTCTCAAACTCCTACCTCTGGGTTGACCCGTGGATTTGAAATACCACCAGTGCGCGAGTCTGCTCAGCTTTTTATTGGGGGCAGCATGTCCCGCCGCCTGTAAAAAGCTATTGACTTCACCTGTTGATACTCCACCATCCTTCCTGCTGTCTTAGAGCCAATACTTTGTGTGCTATCCCTCCCAGTCCAGAACGCATTCAAACCCATTCCCTCATTTGCTCTCTCTCGTGCCCCCTATTTTATGGGCATATACATTTTTTGATTGTTTTATCCTGTATTAAAAAACAAAGCAAAACAACTTCCTCCCTTCAGAGTGGAGGTGGTGAGCCTGGAATATACTTAACGTCAAATCTAAGAAGACAACAAGTGCAGGATCTAGCTGAAGGAATGGAGTGCAGTGTCAGGTGGTCTGAAAATGAAATGATAGAAGGATGAAAAATGGGAGAAAAGGAGAAAGAGAAGGAATTCTGTAGAATAAGCTTTCTGACTGGTCCATCTCTTATGCCTGGAAGTCAAAGAGTTGTTTGTGGAAGCGAAGGCATATTTACTGCTGCCAAGGGAAACACTTAATGTTGGTATGATATCAAACTGGAGGATGAAGGAGAACATGGGAGGGTGAAGAAAGAGAGTCCAAGGAACATTGGCTGGAGACAGTTACTGCTGTCTAAAGGAAGTGACGAGTGTAGGGAAGTAGATCAGACAGCCATCAGAACAAAAAGCCAACCTGCCTAAAACAAAAGCAGCAAATGCAAACAAGATAGTGCAAGACACATATACGCATGAAACACACAGTGTAAAATACCAGGCCCCCAAATAAAAGCCAACAGAATTCACAGGAATCGAAGTCAATGCACTTAATTCTCTTATGAAAAGCAAAAAGACACTGTCCAATTAAAACACAAAACTCAATTCTATGCTGAATGTAAGATATCTACTGTTTGAGAAAAGTGAAAACTAAAAGGGTGGGCAATATATATACCAAAAGGATGTCTCCTCTTTATGTTCATGGAGTCATAGAGCAGTGGGTAGACACACGACACATTTTCTCATGCGTTCACACTTACACAGCTGGAGGTGTTTACACCACTAGTGTGAGTATATTCAAACACGCAAAGAAGACATTTTTACACAATGAGACATAGAAATGAGAATAGTGAGTGAAAGGAGAAAATAGGAGCATCTGAGAGGAAAGAGCCAACGTTGGGTACTTAGTGATGACATTACCAGGAGGCAAGTTATTTCCAGTGACAGTGTCCTTGTCCTGCTGCTGAAATCACGGGTGATCCTGGGGAAGTTGTGACTGATTCTCACAGAGCTACTCACAGAGCTGCTAGCAGCTGTGATGTTGCTGTGGCCACATGGGAAGCATCAGACTTAGCTTTAGCTTTCGTATCCTTGATGGCCATATATTGCTTGTTAGGGAGGGGGTAATACTGCAATTGTATTTTGGATGCTTTGTCTGATTCCAGACAAATAATCTCTCCAGAATGTGAGTGAGACATACATCTTGATCCATATGGAATGACCCTTTGGTAAAGAGCCAGGGATTGAGTTTCTCTGCAGTGACTGTGGCATCTTGAACAGACTGGGAAACCTGCCTATTACCTTTCTATTCCCGTGGGCTGGGACAGGGGTAGGCTTAATGTGAGGAAGCCTACAATTATTTATTTTAGGTTCAATTTATTATTATTTGTGTAGGTTTAATGTACTTTGTGGCTCTTTTACTGAAATAAAATCGATACTGCACAACTGAAAATACAGTTGCAATATTTTCCCTCACAGGTATATGAGGCTCTTGCTTCATCTCAGAATGTTTTCAGGACCACAGGTTCTTCTAATCGTGTTTAGGGCCACCTCCCCAAGTTGTTAATGGGGTTGGCTGAATGTACGGTAGAATCAGGCGATGGGAATCAGGTGAGAGCGGTAGGTTACTCCAGAAACGCAACGTAATGTACGCCTAGGGCAGTGGTTCTCAACCTTGGCTGCACATTAGAATCACCTGGGAATCTTTTTAAAATCCTGATTTCTGGGCCTCATCCTCCAGAAATTCTGTTTCTTTGTTATGTGGTGGGGCCACAACATTAGTAACAAAGAAACAATTCCGGAAGTATTGTATCTGGTGCGACTCTTCCCCTACCGCCCCTGCTGGTCCTGGTGTGCTTGCGAAACTGGGTCTCGGTTTGTTAGTAGGACTTTTTTATCCACGGGGATAGAAATCTATGTTGGCATCTATTCACACACGAGTCCAGCCATGGTTGTAAAAGAAGGAACAGTGTTGTGGGGTGGCCTTGAAGACCCATTGTCCCTGAGCCTAGTCCCCCAGCCACACCAGATGGGTCCTCCTTTCACAGTTGGACAAGAGTCTCCCACACAGAAATCCAGACAGGAACATGGCATCCTCCCCCCTGCCCCCGCCACGGTCATTTCCCGAGTCCACACCTCTAACAGGCTTGTCATCATTACTTTCTTGTCACCCCCTCGTTCTAGCCTCACCCTTCCACTGCCCTCCACATTTGATCATCCCACTGAGACTAAAGGATGCTTCCCCTGTAAGGAGGCACAGAGGCAGACAGTCGGTCACCTGGGGCCAAGCCTTGTGGTCTAGGGTCAGGCCACCCACACAGGAAACCCTGGAGGAGCTGAGAATCGCTGGGCCCCATTGTCTGACTTCTTCCGGGAGGCCCCTCATCCGTCTAGCCTGGCCTTGGGAGTAGAAGTGATGATGGGAGGGGTCGCTGGGGATCAGAGAGCCCTGTGCTGCCAGGAGCAGGCGGAAGGAGATTCCTCTCAATCTGGAAGGAGGGACTGAGGCTCACCTGTGGATCCAGAGCGCCCTGACCTCCCACATTCCCTTCCTCTTGGGTCCCCTCTCCAAGGAGCAGCGCAGACTCAAGTACAGAGACAAAGACAATGGCCCCCGAGCATTTTCAAACACAACTATCTTTATTCATAACTGAAATACAATGTCCCAAAGGTGCTGATCCTACCCCCACCCCCCAGGCCCACCCCCACCCTAACAACCATGCCCTCCCTCCCAGCCTCCCACCCTCCCAAATCCCTAGAACAGCCAGGATCAGCTCTGAAATGAGAAGGAGCCCTGGGCTCCTCTGGGGCACAGCCAGGTCCCATTTAGTTTGGGTCGCCTGACTGAGGGCAGGAGGGGCCCCCCACTGCTCCACGCTGGCTGCAGTACCTCTTCCTCTTCCTCCCCCTCCCCGCGACAGACTGCTCACTCTTTCTCTTTGGAGCCTGGGACCGAGCAGCTTTCCGGGGCCCTTGACCTTCAGGGCAGGCAAGGCCCGAGGCAGGGTCAGGACTCAGAGAGCGAGCACTGGGTGACAGGCTCTTAGGAGAGGCCAGGGAGGGGAGGTCCCCCTCCTTCTCACTGGACCTGTCCACTGGCCCGCCGTTCCCCCTGACAGGAGAGACCTCCCTGGGAATGGTGGCATCCCTGGGTCCCAGGTCAGAATCAGTGCGCCTGGGACTCTGGGGAGAAGAGGGAGGGCATATAGCCCCGAGGGGTGGGCACTCCAGACATCCTGAAGGGGCAGCAAAGGCTTGGAGACTGGACAGGTGGACATCTGCATGACCAGGCCTTTGATCATCCTTGATGTCAGTCTCCGGTGGGCAGGCTTTGCCATTGACCTCCAGCTGGGGGCCGTGGTCATCTCTCTGGGCATCTTGGCTGGCCACAGACTCAGAAGGACTTGGGTCACATTGGAGTGCACCATCACTCTGGGGTGCCTGCTCATCCTCCTCCTCTTCCTCCTCCTCCTCGTACAGGTGCAGCTTCTCTAACAGCTGGGAGGAAGAGGGGGACAGTGACATGCTCTGCCCACATGTGTGAGAGGAGGAGGAGCGTGGGTGATGGGACAGTGGTGTTGGGGAAGGAGGGATAGGGGGGACACCGTGATTCAAATCCCAAACAGACATGTGGCTCTCCTCTGTATCCCTCTGCCTGCCCCAGCTTTGTGTCCTTCTCTCCCTTTCTGGGCCCCCAATCCTCTTCTTCCCGTCATCCTTTTCTGTCTACAATTCTCTCCTCTTTGTCCTCCTGCACTTCACCCACCCCAGAGCTGGCCCCTGGGTATGCCATGCCTACAGGCAGCACTGGGGTGGACAGAGTCAGGTGCCCCCTTTTCTGAGCTGCTCCTTGCCCTGGTTTACCTGGAGTCCCTCCCTCCATGACTCACATAGGGACCCTTCCTCCTTTAACTCACCTGGCATCTGTCCCTCCCTCCCATGGCCCACCTGAAGCCCCCCTTCCATCTTCTTAAGTTTCCCCCATCCCCTGACTCACCCAGATAAGAGCGAGTCCTTCTTCCAGCTCCAACAACTCGTTAGTTAGAGCCGAGAGATCCAACTGCGAATCTGAGGAAAGTAATTGTGCCACGAATCGGGATTGAATGACCTCCTCCACCTGGGACAGAAGGAAGAAGGTATAAGCAGGACCTGGAGGAAAAGTAGAAAAGCCAAGACCCACCCTATCCTCTTGCACAAGGTGAGTGTTTTACTACTCATGGTCATCCGCTCCAAGCGCACACACACAGAGGAATATATACACATACAAACACAAGGGCACACCCACATATACACACTGAAAGCACACACCACACACACAACATACACACATGCACACAGAGACACACCCATCACCCATGCATGCACCCAGCTCAGGAACAAAGAACAGAGCTTAATCCAATCCTCCTGAGCAGAACCCAGATCTGGGTGCTGGAGTGCCAAGCTCTGGAATCTTGTAGACCTCGGAGCTCGGAGCCAACTCACCCTGTTGACCAAGTCGTCCTGGGACAACAGCATGTCAATGTAACTCAGTATATCTGGGTCCAGGAAGAGCCAATTCTCTTCCTGCTGTGCCTCCATTCCGTCCTCTTCCCTTTCTCCACCTGGCTCCCCCATGGCTGGTTGGGCCAGCTCCACCAGCCCATCCTTGGCATCCATGTTCTCTTTCACAGCCTCCGGGGGGATATCCTTGGGTTCCTTGGTCTCCTGGGGCTGCTGGGGGCTGCGGACACTTTGGGCCTTGGGTACAGCATTCTTGGCAATGCACACTGTGGCAGAGGAAAGAAGAGGGAGTATGAGGGACTCCAGCTTCCACCCCCTGAGCATGTGATAGTGAGGGCAGTATTGGGGGGACAGTAACATTGGTGCGACTGGGTCAGAACCTCTGAAGCCATGTTACCATGGGAGGGGAGAGGTCCGAGGGAAGCATCCAAAAGAGTCAAATGTGAGGATGTGCAGAGCCCCTGATTCTCCAAGGGCCCCCCAACTCCCCTGTTCAATCGCTTCTTAGGTACACATCATGTGCCCCTAATTACTCAGGACTGGTGTCCTAAAACGTTTACTAACGATACAGATCATCTTCCTGCTTCTGTGCTACTCCCCTTGCCCCCTTTAGAAAGAAATCTGCCTTTATAGATGTTCTGAGAGAAAAACAACCACACTCCACATTTGTTCTCTGTCTATAAAGCAGGGATGTGGACTATGAGCAAACCCCTCATTTCAAAGATAAAAGGCAGGGGAGCCTGGCCTGGGTGCTCAGTGATTGAGGATCAACCTACAAACCAAGAGGTCGTGGTTGGACTCTCGGTCAGAGCACATGCCCGGGTTGCGGGCTCGATCCCCAGTGTGGGGTGTGCAGGAGGCAGCCGATCAATGATTCTCATCATTGATATTTCTATCGCTCTCTCCCCCTTTCTTCCTCTCTGAAATCAATAAAAATATATTTAAAAAAAATAAAAATAAAGGCAGGACAGAGGATACACAACAAGAGGAAGTAGGTCTGAAGAACTGACTTGCCACAGAAGGGGAACAATTCAGGACCACCCAGGTCACTGTCCCCCTTTTCCGCCCTATGCTGGTGGAAGTTGCCCGGCTGCCCTGCTCCTGTGGAGTCCAGCACAACAAGAAGCTCCCTGGGCTCAGAAGTGAGCTCTGGGCTGGAAGCAGTGGAGGAGCTTGGGCTGCAGCAGCTGGAGTTCCTTCCAGCCCAGCCCTCGGGGCAGACATTTCATTGTGGACTTGGCCACAGACAGCACTGGACAACTTTCTGGCTGGGACTACCTCTCCCCACTGCCCCAATAGCTTCGGTATCCTAAACCGAAATCCCTTAGAAAGATACAGGGCACAGGACTAGGCTTTCCTGTGACCCTCCCTGTGCCACCACCACGACACAGCCCACTACTCTCTACACACATGTTGAAGTGGCGTGTCTCTCCTTTAGAAAGAATCCATGTGCCTGCTGCCTCCACACCCAGGCATTTCCCCTGAAGTCATCCTGAACCACCTCTGAGGAGCCCTCCTGTTCAGTCACAGGTTTCCCCGGACTCTCAGTCTCTCCTGGTGAAAGGTCCTTGGGGGGCCAGTGCTCTCTCCTTCCCCGACTTCAGTCCGAACTATGTTTCTCCAGTGGAAGTATTACATTTTAATCCCAAGTGTTGAGGTACATCATGGTCACTAATCAACCCCCAACTCCCATTCCAACCTATAGGCTTACCTTCTTCTGAAGCCATCCCTGAAGGCTGAGGCACTGACCACCGCTGAGAGAGAATGAGAGAATTCAAGTCCAGGTCCAAGAGGTGACCTGCTCCAACAGACACTCAGGATCCAGTGAAGGAACAGGTTGGATTTAAATGTCAGAATGTAGGATTCCAGACATTCTGCATCGGGGGAGGGGCGACAGGTTGGTGCCTGGGTGGGGGTGGTGTGAGGAGACATTCCCTGGAGGGCTCTGGCAGGTAGACAAGAACCAGCATCTCCTTTCAAATTTTTAGTGATGACACAATTGTTGTGTGCCTCCTTAGGCCATTTATATGCTGGTTTTTCAGATTCACGGCACAAAAGCTTTACTTGATGTTCCTTTTATTTCAGTTCTTGATCCATCAGCCTAGTTTGGGTCCTTCAACCTGCTTCCTATCTAGCTCTTGGCTGACTTCAACACAGACTACACTTTCTGAACAAATTTCAAACATAAACAACAATGGGAACTTGTGGCCACATGGAACCCAGTGTTTGAAACCCGGACTGACTCAGCAGATCCAGCCTGTTGGGGGGCTGTGTGCACATCATTCTTTGGGGAGCAGTCCTGTGGCCCCAAGTGCCATCCAGTGCTGGGAGCTCTGCAGAATGCAGCCGGCCCAGCCTTCCAAATGATCCCCTTTGCTCCAGTCCATCAGGGGAAGGCTCCATAGCCTACACGGCCAAGACCAGAAATCACTAGTCTTTGTTTCTCAGAGTATTCCATTGTTCAATGTTTACTTTTTAACCTTTTGACTGATTTTAATGTAATATATTAAACAAGCAATGCCTTGCATAGTTTACAGTGTAATTGCACAAAATGGAAAATATGGTGACGTCTCTTTCGCCTGCCTCTTTGCCCTGGCAGCACAGTCTTCTTACCCACAGGATGCCATTGTTATCTGTTTCCTTTAAATTTTTTCAGAGATGTATTATGCAACTAAGAGCAAATGCAAACTATTTTTTTTTTTTAAAATGCTCTTGGCTTTTTTCTCTGGTTAAAAATAATATATGTCTCAATATATTTATTTTACATGTAATTTTACTTAGGGTATACCATAATGATTGTCTTTGTACTGGTAACGTGGCTCCTCTTTATTTCTGGAGGCTAGATTCGTAGAACATGAAATTCTACAGTTCCTTAAAATTCAAAGTATCTTTTGAATGATTTTAATGAAAGAATAGGTGGCCCGATTTAGTAAATAATAGACACCCAATGGAATTTAGATTTCAGATACACAACGAATTAGTTTTTAGGATAATTGGGTCCCCACTGTATTTGGAACATACCTTTACTGTCAATTTGCTTGCTGTTTTCTGAAATTGACACTTAACTGGCATCCTCTATTTTATCTCCCGGACAAGTAACTTATTAGGCTACTATTAGCTACTCCGCCTAGAAGAAGAACTTGAAGTAAAAAAGATTCAGGTGTGCATCTTGGCTCCGCCACTAAACACAATTGCACACACACGTGACATGTGCACATTCGTTGGTAGATACGGAACTTGTGAGAGCCATCATCATACAGCACTGAATGTCCCTCGTGTCTAGTGGGGGAAAGACAGACGTAAGGGCCAGGAAGGCAGAAAATCTTGTGACTCCACGTGTTAACAGGGCTTGACATCCCAACGTCTGGTTGGCCCAAGTTGTTAAAATTCCACTAGCCATGAGACGTACGTGGCACTCTGAGGCAAAGCCAGGTCTCTCTCCACCATGCCCAACCCCCTTCCTCAGAAACCTGCATCCACCTACAGCCCCGCTTGCCAGTCTGAGCCTGGAAGCCCTGCTCATAGACTTCCAAGTTTCCTGCCTGGGACATACACCCTCGCTCTTTGAAAGACAGGTTCATCATTGCCCATGGTTCCATCTGCGTGTGAACCATGGTAGCACCCCTTAAAAAACTTGTTCGATACTTATTTTCATACTGTGCATAAATGTCTGTTAATCACTGTCACAATGATCTGAAAGAGCAATCGTGTTCTGTGCTGTGAGAGGAGAGGATTGTTAGGAAATTGGTCAATGGAGATGAAGGGTGACGACTTCGGAGGATTGCAACCAAATCTCTGGGAAGACAAGCTTCACTCCCTGCAGAAGTCCTCCTACTGGTAGGGTAAAGGACTGTGAACATTCCCTGAAAAAGACTCCAATATAATTCAAATTCTGCACATCATAGAAAAAGAAGGGAGGAGAAGGTGAAATTCTTCCCATGCTACCTGCTTTGTGAACAGAAATTAGTCTAGTCAAGTCTTGATCAATGTTATAATAGCAACCTTACAATAGAAATACCTGCAAATCAACATTTATTGAACAACTTCCATGCGCTAGAGAAATAAACTTAAAAAACAACAACATATTCTAGTACAGTAAATGTATTCGGAAAACCTTGAGGGATGGAGTCAGGGGGAAGTATATCGTGTTTCCCAGGTCTAAATTTCATGGCCAGAATTGTTTAATGAAACATTCAGACTTGCTAGGAGAAAAGACGACTGTTTTCAGAAACCACGGAAATGCAGTCCAGAGGACATGAAGGCACTTGCCCCAATTTGAGGACATGTGCTCAGGTAGACCTCTCCAAATTCTTTCCGGAGGGAGGGCTGCATCTATAGCATGGATTGCACGGTTGCAATTTTAAGATCCTAAGTGCTCATTGCACACGCCCTGGTCTGAACCACGGACAGCCATGGAGGTTCTTGATAAGGAGGCCTTGCTGGAGAAGCTTTGCAGGAAGTCCCCCACCTCCTCCAGTTCTTTCCTCTCCTGTTCCTCAGCCTTGTCCTGTTCTGGTGCAGAAGATGGGGTCGGCGGGGAGAGGTTGGGAAAGAGGGGGTGCCTGGCGCCATGATGCACGTACATGCGTTCTGGTGCAGAAGATGGGGGGAGGGGCTCCACCCTGCAAGGACTCCCAGCATGGGTTGTATCTGTTGTAAGGTTGGCTCTGGTGGGCATACATGCGTGGAGGGGGGGGGGCCAACAGTGTTCCTGGCCTACACGAGGCTTGGCATAGCTGCCACAGGAGTGGGTTATGTAAACGAAGAAGTAAGGGACGCACGGACACTTACCCCTCAGATGTCACCCCTCTTCACTCTTGTTCACGCTGTGGGCTATTTGCGCCCAAGGCCTGCGTTCATTCCCCATAAACACTCACTTCCGGTGGTGTTTACGCCAGGGAATTGGCCACTGGCACTGGCTCATGGGGGAGAGAGTTCAGTGATTGGCAGGCCTGCAGTGGGGTCTAATAACCCGTGTGAGCTGTTAGATTCTGAGAGTCATTCTGTGCCTCTTGAATTCTGAACAATGCAGGAGCTGAGGTGCATGAGCCAACGCTAGCACACAGAGGCCAGAGCCCTAAGTATAATATTTAGAAATATATGAATAAATGAAGAATGCCTCCAGCCTGAATACCAGGGATTTTAGTGGTTTGTAGGAGTTGTGTGTGAGAGAGAACCAGGACGAAGGAATTGTGGAAGTTGTTCTCCAAGACATCATGCCCACCTTCACTCTGAATTTTTGGCCACGCTGTTACCTCTAGCTGAACACCACTTCCACTACCTTTTTTTTTCTTCCCCAAATCCCTATTTGTTTAAGAACAAACTCAGGAATAATTTTCTTTCAGTAAAATTTTTATATTTCAAAAAGTGTGCTGTACTGCTATCATTTTCCCTTGCACCATGGATCTCCTACTATTATTTTATAGAAATCTATCTATATAGCAATGGAACTACTTTTCTAAATTTCTGAAATGATGCTTCGGACAGAGTTGAAAACAAATTCCAGCAAGATTATAGGTTATCATAGCCTGTATAGTATAATTTCATTAAATGCATTTTCACGTAAATTATCTTGCTATATGATATGTATTATTTAATGGTTTCTTGTTGGAATTGAGTAAAGAAGAAATTTGGAAGATGGATGAAATCAAGGAATAAAAGAAGAACTATGATCTTAACGTTGGTGTGGCCCCAAACTTCATGTATTGAACCCTAACACCCGATGTGATGGCATTGGAGGTGGGGTCTTTGAAAAATGCGTAAGTCATGAGAGTGGAGCCTTCAGAAATGGGATTAGTGCCTTACACAAGCTTCAGAGAGGTCCCTTGCCAAGTGAGGATACAATAAGTCTGCCACCTGGAAACAGCTATCAGCCAGCCACATAGGCACCCTGATCTGAGACTTCCAGGCTCTAGAACAGTGAAAGCTAAATTTCTGTTGTTTATAGGCTACCCAGTCTATGATATTTTGCTACAGCAGCTCCAATAGAATCAGCCTAACATTTTCTATAAATCTACTGTGAGCCAAGCATTGTATAAGCATTAAGCTTAATCTCTACTGTTATCAAAGCTCACTGTAATTTTATTACCAGTTTATGAATGTATGGATGGGGAAACAGATGATAAAGAGGTAATTATTTTAACCAATGTATTCTTATTATAATAGCAACTTCAGAATTTTAATGTATATTTGTTCAATTCCAGTGTTAGTGCTTTTTGTAACCAAATAATGCTTTCTCTTACTGATTGCATTGGTCAGTCTTCACTGCCAGACCGTGAGTGTTATGAAGTCAGAAACTATAACGTTCATCTCTGATTCCCATGCAAGGAGACATGGCTTTCAAAACAGGAGGTGCTGAATGAATTAGAAAAGACATGCTCTCAATTCACAAGCAGAGCCCTAATTGACCATGAATCTCACTATCTAGCGGCTATTAGCCTAAACTGTACCACCACCTAGTGGCAAAAAAGACTTCTGCACTCTGCTGATTTGAAGTAAAAAGAAACATGTCTTAAACCTAATTTTGCAAATTTAATGTCAAGAGGGAAGGCAAGTGACACTATCTGCTAAAGAATTGTCCAAATAAGTATAATATGTCATTCATAGAAAATCGAAAAATCTCCAGGAACTTTGAGAATAAATGCATGTGTTTACACTTAGCATCCTACTGAAATGGAAAAGAAATCTATAGACAATAAGAGTAGTAGTCTTTCTTTGAATGCTAGATGTCACGTGCATTCAATAAAAATCTCTAAATTGGCTTTAATATTTGTTTTAATAAGAGGAAACAAAAAAATTTTTAGGGTCTG